TGCATCAAACATTAATTCAATCTTTATGTGACTTATGTGCAAAAAAGATTTGCAATCGGATAAAACACGTTTATGCACCAGCGTTTCAAAAGTGGAGGGTAGCGGTCAAGCGTGAGGGGGTCCAGCCACCTTAAGGTAATAAGTAATACACATAATGCGTGACGTATTAGAACATAATTAAATCCACCGCATAAAATACACGGAATGCGTGACGCCACAGAACATAATTAAATCCTTTGCAAATATATTCGAATCCACCGCAGAAATTAGTAAATCCACCGCGAAAATCCGGATCGTACCATGCGACCTATACTACTGTTTGTGGACATAACGTTCCAACAGCTTGCTAACAGTACATAAGATTGATATGGTCTGTAGTTGTTTTTGTCAGTATGACATCCAGACTTGTAGATTGGAGTGATCCTTGCAGTCTTCCATTTAATTGGGAAGCATCCAGTGGCAATGCTTTTGTTGAAGGTTTCAGTTAGAGATTCAGCTATAACAGGAGCTGACAGTTTCAGGATTTTAGTAGAGAGCCCGTCAAGTCCAGTTGATTTGTGAGTGTCTAGTTCGATAAGGGATTTGAGAAAGTACCCTCGATCCTTGACCAAACGGATCTGATAGTGTTACGTGTCAGTGTTACGTGCGTGATACCTGATTGAATGTCAGGCGAAATCCCAGTCATACCAAGGGCACTAGGACACCTAAAGCGGTTGGACTTTTATAGTGCCTCCCCGATTAATTGAATCAAAAAATCGTTATACTTGCATATGTTTACTTATTGCTTGTCTTCATTGTCTTTGTGTTCCTTTACTGCAAAATCGTTGTTTAACTCCAAAGGTCAACTAGTCTCCCCCACAGCCGCTTTCAGTGTCGTCACGCAACGCTTACGACACTGAAAGCGGCTGTGGGGGAGACTAAAGGTCAACGGGTTTTAATTTAAAAAGAGATAACTAGCTAAAAACTAGTGTGAGCTGCGTCGGTGTTTCTAATGAAACAGTAATGATGATACAACCAATCTGGTTCAATAGACTGATAAAGGTAAATGCTGAAAATATATCTATAAAAAGACTAGCAATGAAAGGTGTGAAGTCAGTGCATCAGGTATGGATAGGAAAGGAACCGACATGGAAAGAAGCT